TGGTTTTGATTAGAACTCCGATCTTAACCATTAAATTATAATATTTAAATTCAAAGATAGAAATAGAACCTAAAAAAAAAGGAACAAAAAATACTTATTACTAAAAAATTAAGGGAACTAAGAATTATCATTCAAATTTCAGTAGAAAAATTTTGTATCCATTTAGCACTGGTTCACATCCATATTTGATACTTTTTTCGCTTTCCCATAATCTGCTCCAATTCTGAGACTATAGTATACTATTAATATTAATCATATTTTTAAACATTTTTAAAATATATTATATTAAATATTATCGTTTGTATACATCATAAAAACCACAATTACATATTTAACGCAAATAACGCACCAATTGATGAGCACTAACAAATAAAAAATGAAAATTGATATAAGTATTGTAATATAATATAATAGTTGTACAAAGACAATTCCATTGCATACATATTATTTGATCAATCTTAATAAGTAAATTTACTGTAATATTAAAGCTAACAATACAAAATTAGTTCTGCTGAATAAAAGTTTGCTATTTTGTACGTTTGTAAGATAGAAGACAATACTTCCGGATTTGGTGTCCTCTTAAATATTAATAACTAATAAATAAAAGTTTCTTTTAAAATTTAAAAATTTTACTTTTTGTGGTACTTTAAAATTATAATAAACCATAATCAATAACATAATGACCATTAAACTATTTTTTAAACTTTATGTATACATTTTATACATTAAAACATTCTAAATTTAAAATATTATGCTTTAAACCCAGTGAGTATGAATTCATTAACTAATGTACAGCACTTTATCGAATTGTTAAGTTAATTTTATAGATACATATTTTGAATTTATAATATAATATTCAATACAATTATAACTTTCATGTTTTAGACACATACATTTTTTAACTTTCCATCATTGATTCATATAAACAACATTATATTGGTTTAAATCTTTAAAATTTTAACTGTGTTTGGTTACAGTGAATAAATTATGATTGTTTAACTTTATTTTTGATGAAAAACAAATATATTTAAAAATTTTATTAGTTATTATTTTTTGTCTTATCAGTAATATATATCAGTCAAGGATGGAAAGCGTGACATTTTACTCAATACATAAAATATTAAATTTTATTAAAAACATATATATTTAATAGGATGTTATAAATAAATCCCATACACAAGATCAAAACTTCAATTTATAAGCATGAATAGTATGATCTGATATAAAATGAGAACATCGGGTAGAAAAAAGGGTAGCGTAATAACTATAAGATTTCGGTTTTTTTATGGACAGTAAAAATATTTAAAGCTTTTCAACGGTTAAGTATATAAGTATCAAAATAACATATTATAGCTATAGATTAATTTTTGTCTGGTTTTGTAATTTCTGACAGAATGACATGATTATTATTTGATTAATCTTGTACAAACTCGTTTAATATCACTTGATAAAATAAGTAACTAAAAATAAAATTTTAGGAATTTAGGTAAATTTCTTTAAACGATAAAATTTAAACTAAAAAATAGCAAATTTATAAAATCGCATTTTTATTTTTTAATTTTTTCATTAAACGTTCAGAAATATTTCACTCTCTTATAAATTATACTTAAATATATAATCTGAGACAATCAAAAGTAAATAATATAATAATAATATTAAAAAAATAAAGTAGTTTCAACATACGGCGTTGGCAGTTTATTGTAATATTATAAGCATAGGTAAAACTATAATAATAATTTTTCACAATATATTTTAATAATACAAAAATTGTCTTCATTTATACATTTAACCATTTTCATTATATTTTAATACGAGAATTGGTCCATACATTTATCATACACTACTAATATAATTTAGAGAAAAATTTAAACGCTAAAATTATTATTAAATTAGGAATTACAGTATACTTAAACTAGATACATTATAGGAAAAAGAAATTTAATATGCCAACTGCATCTTTGAAATTGAAACACATAGTATATAGAACATCTTACAACAATTTACATTAAAGTTAAGTGTTCAAATAGGGTATCACTTATCACATTGTAATTTAAGGAACCTAAATCAATCTACAACACGTGTTAAAATTAAAGTAAAATGGTATCATAAATCATATTAATCTCTAAGTAAACCCTGTATTAAAACTGTGTTCTGTTGGATGTGTGCCATCCCAAGAACCGCTTCAGTTTGAATAAGTTTGTTTAAACTTATTACTATAGTTTTTTAGTTAACGGAATAAACTAACTCAAGTGATAAACGAAATATACGTATTATTTACCTCATATTCATAAATAATGATGAGAAGTCTTTTACACTATATATTAGGTTCAGTGAAACATTTTATCTTTATAAATAAATCTTTATATAATAGAATGTATACTCGTATATACGTATGCATAGATTATGCATTATACTTTTATGCTTATCAATAATTTTAAGTAAATTAATAATTTTATTTATTTTAAATATTATGAAACATTTTGTATGATTTTCAATGTACTATATTTTAAAACATAAATAAATTCAATGTATTTTTGATTCAAAAGGTAGTAGATACTATACTAGGTACCTTCATAGCCTCATAGAATTTAATTTTACACAAAGATATAACGAAATTGCCTATACGATACGCCGTCAAAAAAAAAATAAATAGTTTTTTGTTGAAAATTGAATTTCCTACTTTGTGCTTAAATAGGACCCTAGAAACTATAACATAAAAGAAATTCTGCGTTGAATACAATCACCTTAAATTTAAACATTTAACATATTTTGCATACTACGTGACTAGTAGAGTTCAAAATATACTTTAAAATTAATGCATACTTTTTATAAGTTTTTATATAACATAATTGTGTAGAATTTCATTGTAAATAGGTATATGATACATAAAAATTAAAACTACAGAATTGTATACATTATTCTTGAAATAATAATATATATTGTATGATGATATACAGATGTTTAGCATTTTAAAAAATACAAATGAAAAAAACAAAATGTTAAATACTTGGCGAAAGCACAGAAATAGTTAATAAATCTTGTTTAACGTTATTTTTTATGTAATTTTCAATTTTATTATTATCTAAATCTGTAATATTCATTTAAAACGTAATATAAAAATAGAAGAATATGAAAAATCAAAGAACGAATATTTTACAACATAACGTATATATAACATTCGATTAATAGATTTCGCCAGGAAATACATGACAAAACGTAATGAAAAATAATGACTGAATAAAATATCAAAAAAACTCAAGTTCGATAGTTGTATTTAATTAATATAAAATAATTAATCAATGTATTCGCTCAAATACGTAAAAGTACTATAACATAAAAATAATGATAATTTTAATTGAAGTTGTCTTTAAGAATTTACAACAATTACAAAATCAATGAAAAAACATAATATGTATACATGTTTACTCTCAGTAATAATATTCAACTGATTTAAATAAAGATCTTTAACTATACTATTTTAAAGTTTTATAGTATAATTTTTATCTAAATTTACATGAGCAATATGCGCACGAACTCGGTGCAGCAAATATTGTTTTCATCCAATAGACAGTATAATATATTTTAATAAACTAAAATAAATAAAAATTAAATATTCTGTATTTTAAAATAATAGAATTGAGTTTCGACAATGACTTGAACATTTTTTTCATTCACTTTAAATATCTATAATATGCATCAATATATACGTATATTTTTAAATAATCACTATCTTCTTGGATAAAAATTGAAAACTTTATTTTCGTCAAAATGTTAATTTTCTAAAATATACACATACAATTACATGAATTTATTAAATTTTTTTATATTAATTCTGTGTATTCTATTAATTTAGATGGAATTATTTTAATGGAAATCATACGTGCCAAATGTATATAGACAATAATAAATAATATACATTTTAAAAAATACGAACAAAGAAAATTCTATGTTTGTAGAAATTTTGGAATAAACTCGTACTTACTACAAAAATGCGTAAAATCTTTAACTACTTAGTATCATGAGGTTTTAAGTATAATCGCTAACTATAATTGCAGTGAATTTAATTTAACCTTTATTATTACGGTCTAGAGTTTAACAATTTTTTACGATATATTGGTACTAATATCACAATACCGGTATAGTATTTCAATACCATCAACCCTGTAGCATATGTACGTATGCATGTTAAAACATAAACAATTTGATAATACACATTTATTATCTAATGTTATTAGTTATTTTTATTTAATAAAAATAAAAATAGAACACTCAAGTGGTTTCAAAGACGAATTGAATACATAAGATCGAACATAAAGTAATAAAACTAAATTTAATTCACTGTAATATTATGCGGTTTGTTTATTTATCAGTACAAGAGTATGTAAACTATCCCAAGTGCTATTTTATTTACGTTATTATTTTGAGTTCGTGAAAGAAAATATTATCTGGGGACTGGGATTCACTTTAACATAATGGTAAGCATTTTTTATCATTTCGATTTTTAATAACATTGATACGAGAGTATTGCAAGGCCACAATCGTGTTTATGAAATATTCATTTTTATGTCTATATGTTTAAATAAACCAACATGTGCTCAATATATTTGACTAGCCTATAATATGTAAATATATTTTCGGCCATATTATGCGAAAATTACGATTATAGTATATTATTATATAATTTACTGTTATTTGAGTGTGTTCTTCAACCAATAAGTTGCAACCAAATTTTGGATCTCGTGAACTTCAAAATTCAAATATCACTCTATACACCTACTGTCATTCAATAATATATAAAAATAAATGTTAACCTGAAAACATATAGGTCCTAAAAATTGTAATGTATTTTATTCCTTGTTAATTTTTGCTTGCTCATTATAATTTCAACATTAGTCAAAAAAAAATTGTATCACCAAAATGGATCATGAATCATAAAATGTTAAAGACAACTAAATTTTGTTAAATATACATGTAACTTTATACCGGAATTTTATTTTCAGTACATGGGAGCATCTATGGTATTAGCTCCGGCCACGGTCACATATGCTACCGTCAACCAACAAGATATGTTCAACATCTGAAACGGCTTTAAAAACTTAAGATAGTTGAATGAGTGGGCGCGAAAACGCTCAAAATGAAAGATTCGCATCGAGATATCAATCAAATAAGTATAATTTTATGTTGTTTTTACTTTTTTTTTCCTTGTTCTTTTATATCTTCTACAATACCTGGTCGTATAATTCACTATATGATAAATAGATATTGTTCCAATGATAGTTTTTAATTCTGTCTTTTAAAACGAATTTTTGGTGGACAGCGATCTTTCCCTTAAAAAGATTAATACAGCACCATGGATGGAATGAAATACAACAATAATTCTTCATTGATCTTTACCTCATCCTTCTATTTTTATTTTTATTTGACATTATTATACACTAGTTAAATAAAATAATAAATGCTCACTTTGATGTCCTCCATTATGTTATTTTTTATGATTATTGTTATTATTATTATTATTTTTTTAAGTTACAAGTTAGAATAGAATATATTGATACTATATAGTATATACAGACTACCAAAATATAATGTTTACCTCTTCAATCATATCAAGCGCGTGTTAGGATTAACATGGTAAAAGATATTTTACCTATGACCATGACATTAAATTTCCCCCTTGTTTTATTTTGTTTTCTCAAAACTGTATTCCAAAATATATTTAAATTAATATTGTATGTATGTAAAAAATTTTTAAAAATAAATTGTAAAAACTAATTTAAAATTCATTGTTACAGGGATTTATCCAAAAATTTTAGTGCTGTTCAATTTTTAATATTTGTAAAATACAAAGAAATTTACAGTTTTATTTTAATACCATACAGTGAAAAACTACCTTTACAAGATCTCATCCGTCTCCAATAAAAATTTAGTAAATTATTATTTAAATATAGCTGAATAGAAATATTTTAAAAAATATGAAAGAAAAATCTCCTTATACTTATAACGAGGCATTTATCACGTTTAATACAAATTTTTTTTTTATTTACTGTTAGGGTAATACGATATGTTGTTATTAAATAATTATTAATCAACAAATTACTAACCTTATTTTTAAAGATACCTATTTAAAACATCGTATTATAGTTTTTAATTATTCTTATATACAAAAACAATATATTTTTATGACTTACAATACTAAGTTACTTAAACTTAAAATAAATAACTCAAATATAAAATATGTAAATTTACCTATAATAAAAGTATTTCAAATAATTGCCTACAAATCATATATACCAACAAACTTTGGAGACGGTTTCCGATTTAAAATTAAAATCAATAATTAAGTTACAAAGTCATATTTATAATGCTTTAGACTTTAATTTCAATTTTATTAATTTCATAAAATACAACTAAAAAGTGCAAATAGTGATAAAATATGAGTTTTGGTTTTAAAATAAATATATTTAAAAACAGGAAGTACTGGATAAATCTCTGGTATTGATTATAAGCTTTTGTAATAAAAACGAAAGTATACTACTCTATACCTACGTTCAACTGTATAAGCTTTATGAAACAAAATATTACTTTTTCAATAAATTTTTTTATGATTTACAGATAGATACATTAACAGTTTTAACCCGATAATATCTGTATTTTATTTTTTTTTAATCAAATCATTCAGGCGATCGTTTTATTCCCACATAAAAATGTTTAATGGCTTAGCAATAATTGTGTAAAAATGAATTACCTACGTAGTAAAAATCTTGTAATCCGTTGTATTATTTTAACTAACTACTTATACAATTTTATGCAACAACTAAGTAATCAATGAATATTATTATTATATTATGAATATTAAAATCATTGTGTATTTTTTATCCAACCCAGTTTTATTTTACTTTTCAAGAGTTAATTTAAAATTATATAATTATATTGATATTATTTGTTATTTTTTTTTACTTTATCCAAAACAGACTTTAGTCATTAACTTATAACTCATAATTTTATGTAAGTATTTAAGTGTATTAAAATATAATTAGATTTTTGAGTTTTTGCCGATATCGAAATTTTTAAAAATATAGATCATTATTGTACTAGTTAATAATAAATATGGTTTATTTAAAAACAAATTTAATTAATTATAAAAAAAAAATACAATTTTTATGATTGTTTTATGTATGTAAAATTGTTTTTGTGATGTATTTCAACAATATATGTAGATAAAAATTCATTACTTCTCTCAAAATCTAGTCCCTATTTTTACCAATAAATTACTACATTGATATTGTACTCTGTTTTGATTAACATAAAATAATTGCATGCCTGTTTATACAACACTAGTATCATAAACTACATAACGTATGAATTAATATTTATGAATAAGCGTAATATCTGTATTATATATAAATAACTCTTTATGTTCAAAAAAATATAATTTATTAATGTTGATCGTAATTATAATAATAAATGATCTCTTTTTCTTTGTATATATACTATTTATTAACAGATCAAGAGTATATCATTATAAATGATTAAAAGTAAGTAGGTATACCTTCTTAGGGATGAGCAATATCTAAGATACTTATCTTAGATACATTTGTATCTTGTGTGTCTTATATCTTTTTTTGTGTAAAGATTCTAGATAATAAATACAAATTAAGATTCGTTTTTTTTTTTTAAATAAATAATAAATTGAAAAACAAAACTATTTCAACTATTATTAATTTTTAAATATACAACCTATCATACAAATTATTTATGAAATTACAAAAAAAAACCCATATTATTGAAAGCAGATAACGTTGTACGGTTCCGACGATACATATACCTATGCGTAATGTATAGCTTCTATTATATAGACATTTACTATGATCGAATCCACTGTCAGATTTTTTTAAATAATTTTTTGATCCATCATCAGGGATTAATGAAACAATTTTTGCTAGCTGTTTTCACCCTATTTATAAATTTTAATAGTTATCAAAATCGTATGAACATTGAACCTGAATGACAGCAATTACAAAATATAAGAACTAATTCCGTTGCAAAATATATCAGTATAAGTAACAATAATAACTACAGCAATGGTGCTGTTAACAATTCTGATATTTTTGTTATATTTTCAAATTAATCCAAGAATAAGCTATAGTTTATAAGAATATTAAGAACCCATAATCGATTTAAAGATCATTATTTTTTTCAAAGACAAGAACAAGTCTTTGTCTATGCTAGATAGTTAAATGAATATAGGTACAAATTGATTTAAAATTCAACAATAGGTAAAAGATCTATTGTTCAGAACTATATTATTCATTAATAAATACTAATATGTTATAAGTTATATAACTAATATTTAGTTTACTTAGGCCCGTTTCACTGCCACGTGTAATAATTCGTAAGCAACTGGTGAATTCTAACCCTAATATATATGATAAGTATAGAAATCAAAATTAAAACCATAAAAATATAAATTATATTTGAGCAAGTAGAGACTTTTAATATTGATACCAACATTTTAGCCAATGAAAAGTTGTCGAAGGCTGAATTAGAATGTCTAGTTATCAGTTACCACCGCCCGCCATGGAAACCTGTGTAAATTGAAACTAAGTGGAAAATCTGCCTATGCTAATAGTCACCCATAAACAAAAAAAAATCATTCCATTGAATAAAAAAAACATCACGACTGCTGATTCCAAAATAATATAATTACAAAAAAATAAATGATATGTAGGTACCTATCACTAATATTATTTATTTATATGAACAACAACAAAAAATATTAATAAAAAGAAATATTTATAATAAAATGAAAACCACATGTTGCACATTGCATAACTACTAAAGCAAATAATATAGCTACGGTTACAGATAGCTATAAATTGTTATTAACACATAGTACAATGCATGAAATAATTGTATAATATGTAATAATTAATAATTAATAACCACACATTGAATCTCTAAAAACAACACCAAAGACAAGAGTAGAAAATTTAAATGAGTTTTTTAATAAATGGATTATCACGGAATGTACACAATTCCGTAGGTAGTCATCGGCAGGTGAAAATTTATTAAATGCAGTGAGACGAAAGTGGCGGTAACCAACGATAGTCTCATCACTAACTCACCACAATTACACAAATCATCCGCCTGCTCATCAAAATCTGTGTGTCATGTTTGGTCCGAAAATCAAAACTATACCTCAATTCCATCTAGGTAATTACCCTCCTCCGACCAGCGTACGGAACACCACTTCCAAATTACGAGCTCGTAACTTAGTTTACGGTTGCTATGTTTATACATAATATCCTTTTCATTTGACCCATCGACCACGTTTTGCCAACATACACAAACACACACACACACACACACACACACACACACACACACACACACACATACAAACAAACGTTTCGTATTCAACCTTCCGCAACCGACTTCCTCCTCTCTAACCTGACCTAAACTAACCGTAGACAAAATACTGCCATCCTAAAAGTATGATTCGTTAAACATAAATCCCTTTTATGTCACTTTCGACTGACCCGGATGAGTTTGCCAACATTTGGCGGTGGTACTTGTATATACAGCTAATATTTTTCACCATCCACTACACCACGACGACATCGAATAATATTTGTCATCGAGCGAACGAAGGTATAATGCTACCCTACCTAATACACCATTATGCATACTGATAAGTTTCATTTACAGTAAACAATTTATAAAACATAATAAATAATATATATTATATTAACATAGTACCTTATCCTATAGTATAAATAAAATTATATAAGTATATCTAAATACTTTTTAAATAAATTATTTCAAACTTACACATACTATTTGTATTGTGTATTAAAATATTTAACTTTTGACTATTTGAGTTGAGTACTACATAAATTATTTTTATACATATTTTTAACTACGCTATAAACTACAACTTTACTATAATAATGAATATTACTCACAAACTTTTAAATATTTGTAATAATCTTCAAATACAATAACGAAATAATTAAGAAACGGTTATTTACACAACAATAGATACATATTGTACGACAACAATCAACAGTTCACACTGAGAATAATACATATTATATACGATTAGGAAATAAAAATTATGATATTCAAGAACAAACGCCCCAGTGAAACCTTTAACAAATAACGAAATCAATAAAAAATCTAATACTAAGTATATTACCTATTCGAAATAATAATAAGCAACTGGTACATGTATTACCGATTACAATGCCGAAATATCTATACACAATGAACATATCAAATCTATACATATACTAAAATGGAAATAAACATACAATAAATTATTGTTATTATCTTAAAAGTTTAAAATCATATTAAATAATCGTTATATCGTTGTATGTTTAAAAGAACGACGGTACAATAAAATCTAAAAATCCAAAAAGTATTCATTATTAAAACCAAAAATAAAATACCGTTAAGTATTTTCAAAAT